TGGTTCTGAGAACATCCTACATGGATTTGAGTATCGTGCTTGGTTCTGCTCACTGAGGCATCGGGGAGTTTTCCAAACACTGCACAAAATGGGCACATGGGTGAGCTGTAGATGATGGAGTGAATTATGAGTGAAGACATAGATGCTTCAACATTAAACGGTGGAGGATTAGAGAGACCTTTTCATGAAATAAAATAAAGAAATTGCATAACATGTCTCCTTTCATGGCCTTAGAATGTCTCAAAATGCTTCACTGTGGTCATGTAAGGCAACGTGGCTGGGTCCCAAAAAGGCCAGCGAGATAACTGTTCCTTCACCATTACATGCAAAATCCTGCTACACCCTTCCTAATGGTAATGTTGATGTACTTACACTGCAGCGATTCAAGAAGGCAGATCACCACCACCTTCTCTGGGCAATCATGGATGGGCAATAAATGCTGACCTGGCCAGTGATGCCCACATCCATAAACTTAGAAAAACCCACATAATTTCACCAAATAATATAAGGAGCTATCTGGAAAATAAAAAGATCATCCTAAGCGCAGTTTGTGTCACCATTTTGCAGGACATTGGTACCAACTGGTAAAAGATTTGCAGAGCTGATGTCATGCGCAACTTTTGCACACAATTCTATTAATACCTGGAGTGGAAAGCAGCAACACAAACTTTGCAGTCATATATGAACTATATAGATGCTTCGATAGACTTGGAAATTTGAGCTGGGTGGGCCTTCCTGATCTTTCTTCTCTCTGAGTTCAATCTTAGTCCATTATGTAATACGTTCCTGAAAAATTTCTATTTGAATGATTTTGCTACAGGCACTATCCTGTTTGAATGTATCAACAATAATGCTAAAGTATAAACAGGGATGTTACAAAAGCTTATTAATCAGCATTACAAAAATCATTCACAGATGAAATTAAGTTTGATCAGAATGGAAAGGGGATGTTACAAACATTACTGAATGTTGGCCTTGTGTTGTTTTGTTGACTAAAAGAAAAATGATCCTCAAGCAGAAAAACAAAATTCCCATTGAATCTGTGAATGTGTTTAATCTCCTCATGAAATGTGCTGACGCTGAAAGAATGATTTTCAAATTTGAATGACACATTATTCCACAAAGAAATATATTGGCAGCTATATTACTGAATTTTTCTGTCCATCTGCAAAGCACAGAATGGTAGGCGAATATTGCGTATGATGGACAGAGAAACAGCCTGCTCAATGATTTGTAATTAACTGGCAATGTCTTCAGTTAATGTCTCTTCTTAGGATCATTTAACTCAGAAGGTGGCTACTTGGGCATTCCTGTTTGTGCCAACCAGTTTCACAAGTGGAAGGCATGAGATTGATGTTATTAAATCCTCTTGCATATATTAAATTATGATCTTTTAGGTTATATTTTTAGAGTGTTTCTTAACATTGAGTTATCTAGAAATAAAAACTAGGTACAGATATTTTGTCCTGTGGAATTTCTTATGTACGATCGAATTACTGAACTTCCAGTTCCTGTTGTGCGCGTCTTTTGATCATGCTTACTCATAATGAATAAGTAGAAAAGCAAGACATCTTCCAATCAGTGGACAATCCTAATGCTAATTGGCATTGCATACACTAGTACCCTCGGTGTAATAACTATAAACAATACTACCAGTTATAGGCCAAAAATGACACTGTATGAAAAGCTCTCTTATCTCTTCACCTTTTGGATACCCTTGTTCATTGAGAGAGACATGGATACCATAAATATAAGCAATTTATTATTTTGAAGGCCGTGAATATAAATCTCACAAGCCTCAGTCAAGTTCAGAGATGAGACACTAGAATAATTCATTTCACAGAAAGAGCAAAGCAGTTATTGGATTTGGCATGGCATTTTCTGACTATAGAGTAAATATAGAGAAAGACAATCAGATACTGTGTGTTCTACAATTGCTACCAGGCTAGGAAGACTACGGAAAGCCAAATAAGCAAAGTAAAGGGTGTTTATAGAGTCCTGTGTAATTCCATGAAACTTTAAAACTTTGAACAATTAAATTGTCAATGGCATAATGGACAATTCATCTTTTTTATAATGTTAATCCCATTAATGTTGTTTCATAGTTGGAAAATTGGGTTGAATGATATATCATATAAAATGGCAATTATGTTAATGCCTAGGAATTTGAACTACAGTGTGCTAATGCTCTAAGAATTATCCTTTCATCTATCATTTACAGCTTGATTCTATAAGGTGTATAGACAACATGTGAAATAGCTCAAGGACTTTATAATAACTCTGGGCTGAAATTTTCCAGTCTCTGAATAATGTAGACAATGGTGAATTGGTTGGGAAAATATGGCAGGAACATAAAATTGATATCCTTAATGTTGAGAAAGAGAAGACTAATTTTCCACCAAGGTTTTAATGGTTAGATGAGAATCTCACTTGTGAGTGAAGGAGGCCTATTTGCAATCATTAACATCTCATTATTAGCTAATCACACCTCATTTACGTGCAAGCTGCTATTTTCCCAGAGAGTGGGGAGAAACTTGCTGGTGACAATTCTCAATGTGAAACTCTGATCTGGTATCCAGTATCTCCAACTTACTGACATTATCTCTGGGCCTCCATCTTAGCCAGCATTCTCCCACATCTTGAGGCATGCTTCACAGGCAGTGAGTGCAGCCTTCAACAACGAAGGTCAGCATCGAACAAACACCAGCCACATCACCTCATCGAGAAAAATCTCCCACTCGCTTATTACAGAGTTCAACACTTCAATGATGCACTTTGAAGCTCACTAACACCAAACATTGCAAAGTACTTCCAAGTTGTTGTGTGCAGGACCATTGCATTCATTGGAAGAGGACGCATCTTGGACCCTCTGAGCTTGCTTTCTTAATTCGCACTCACCTGGCAAAAGAATCAATCTTATTTTTGAGATTAAACTGGAACTTGTTCTGTCTAATGTAAGATGGGGATTCATCTACCAAAGCAGCATAGTGAATGATCCAGAGATAGTAGGAACTGCAGATGCTGGAGAATCCGAGACAACAAGGTGCAGAAAAGCCTTTCTGATGAAGGGTCTAGGCCTGAAACGTCAGCCTTTCTGCTCCTATGATGCTGCTTGGCCTGCTGTGTTCATCCAGCCCTGCACCTTGTTGTCTAGGGAATGATCCAGCTTCTTTATGCACTGGTCCCAGTCCTGAACTCACAAACTGAAAAAGACAGTTGAATTCCTTAGTGGCTCAGCAAGTCAATGTAATTGTACTGAGTTAGACAAGAGCTCTGAGGTTCAATCCCTTGTCTGTACTATGTTCGCTGCTGTCAGCATCATAATGGACCTTTATGTCCCCTGAGTGTTGGAGTGCAAGTGAGGTCACAGAGTAGGTGATCTCAAACCAAAGCAAAGGTTGCTGAAAAGTGAACATATGGACTTTGGGTGAGATTAAGAATAAATTTGCTTACAAAACCTTCTTTTCTGCCCAACTATTGAGGGACACTTAGTTGCTCCCCACTGTCCAGGCACACACACAGAGTGACTAGTTAATTGAAACACTGGAATCCTAGCAGTGAAAGGAGGAAGAAGAGAAACAGAACAGAAATAGGCATGCAGGATTAATGAACAGACCAATCATATTTACAGGTATCCACTCAACGTAAGATACTTTGTTAAATGAAATCAATCTCAGTCACTAAAATTTCGAATAAAAGTCTTATACTAAAGATATTTTGATTTTTTAAAATAAACCATTGTGCTGTAGAAACAATTGAAAGGATTTGATTCCTGCTATATAATACACTTAAAAGATTATACAAAATTGTTTTACACATGTATGACAGTGCAGGTGAGATTTGCCATTTTCTCAAAACATTTCAAGCAGCTATGCTCCAACAGACCTCAAATACTACTAAAAAAAACTTGATGATTCCAAGCCCAAATGGCATATATTGACTTTCTGCTGATGTACTCTGAAATCAGATCAAGCCTCAACTCTGAAGTTGCATTGTCACTTTTGCTTTACTGCATTATAGGAAACAACACATAGCCTAACTACACACTACAATACAGCTGAGATTTCCGAGCAAGATGAGGCTTGCTAGCTGTAAATAGGTTTATGTTTAATTTATTCTTTCAAACATTAAGAAGGCAGTCAATAAAGTAACAAGGAAGCACTTATTAGTAAATCAATAAGCTTTGAGAATGAAATATAATCTCATTGTATATGAATTGGTGCAAACTCTGAGCTGTACATACATCTGTAAACAAGGGACCCATCAATACTAAGAGAGATAACTGAAATTTTGATAGTTTAACACAAGACTAGAATTGTGTCAGAGGAACAAAGGTAATGGGCCTGGTTTCTTTTCACAACAACTCATTAATTCTCAAATCCAACACTCAATATTAATGGTATTTGCAAAATAGACATTGCAGGCAGTAAAACCAAACTTCATAGTTTATGTTAAGTCACTGAAACGATTGGATGAAAACTTCAAACATCAAGTGTAATAATACGGCTTTCTGAAATAATAATACAGATGTGGGAAGGGTTTCAAGTTAAAATGCTTAACTTATGTTTGATTAATCTTTGCAGTATAAATGAATCAAAACACAAATTAGTAACAGATGGAACCATCTCTTGCATTTGACTCGCAAAGGACCTTTTTTTTTTACCTTGAGCACTATTAACAATGCACCATGAATTAGTTTAACATCCCCATTCTGCATCAACAAATATCAGACCAGTTCAACAGCAACAACATCACAAATTTAACTGTTTGCGAAGGTAACAACATGCATCGTTATTAATTTAATAACCCTGCGGCACTTCACGAGAGTATAGACAACAAAAAGAAGCTAGGAAGAAAAATAACAAGAGTTAGAATAATCTATTTGTAATCTTTTCTAACAGAAGACCAAGAGTGGCAGTTAACTATCTCCAAGCATTAAGTTAATCCACCAAAGTTTTCCTGAGGTAACTATACTGACACAATAATTTTGTGCAACTCACCTGTATCCGAGTGAGCTGAAGCCACAGGCATTTTGATACCCGTCCTCCAAACACAAAGACTCTCAGTAGAATGGTAAACCTCTACAGGTTAATTTTATTCTTCATGCAATTTAATAGCTGTAATAAAAAGGGTAGAAAGTTTAAATAAGGTCAAGTAGCAACAACCAAACAGCAACAATCTCCAAGCTTCAAGTACTGAACTCCAAAAGCTAGGAGAAGTATTCAGAATTATAAAACCATTATACCAAAGAAAGGGGTCATTCAGCCCATCAAATACAAGCTGGCCCACCATAGAGCAATCTAATCAGCCCCAATCCTTGGCTAGTTTATTTTCATTGACTGTCCATCCAATTTCCTTTCAAAATCAAGTTCCAGGCAATGTTTCAGTGAGTATTTTAATAAACTATAGGACAGGTACTTTATGCCAATATTTCATGGTCTGAATCTCTGGTAATGGAATTCCAGGCATCAGCTGAAAAGAGAATGGAATGTCAGGTGGGAATTTAAGAACCACACGTGGTTGTCCACCAAATATGCTGTTATAAAGTTCTCAATGGAACTCTCACCAGATGACAGCTGTCATCAGTACTGTTAAGAGCTTTACAAATCCTCCCATCCTGGAAGGGTTGAGGGGGTGAGGGGAGCAACATTGTTTTCCCTTCCAGAAGGAATATGGTTGCTATGCATACTTTTCTCCCACCTTTGCAGAGCCTTGGAGGTGGATAACACTGTTGTAGCCTTAATAGGTCAGTAGCTCATGCTGGTCATGAACATAACCCTGTTTCACAATTTGCCATGGAATTGGCATCCTTCATAATGGGCACACATTCTGGGCTATGTTTGCCAACAGAGCAGGGTGATTTCAATTTGGCCTCTTTCTGGACTCTCATAACAACAAATACGGTGTCATTTCCAGTTACTATAATTAAGAGACAACAGTAGTGCCAAGAAGCAATTAAAATGTAGCTGTGAAAATCAGGGCAATGAATACACCAAAAACTCTCTTCAGAAAGTTGGCTTCACCGATAATTAGCTAACAGTTTGTCTTTAAATGTTAGCACCTGCGAAAAAACTCAAAAATTTTGCCAAAGGATTAAGGTAAGGGAACAATGCGAACATAATTAGAAAGACACATCTGTTCAAGAGATTACTCCAACATTTTGTTGAGGGCCTCAATTCCAATGTACACTGGCTTCTGCAATATGCAACTGCTGACAAACTGTAGGTCACAAGCCTAGAAATACGGGTTACAGATCATGAAATAAGGGGCACTGTCTCATGGTCATCTGGTCACCTTCATTTCAAAGGACGTTTATGATCATCATATCCGGTGTTTGGAAGGGGTCTGATGGGTTGGTAGACAACTGCTCAGATTGATCTGCTGCAAGGAAGGCAGGATATCATCAATGGCTTTGAGCAAGTCACTGGCTCAGAATTTCCTCTCCTTACAGTTTCTCTCTGCCTCAGATGTGTACTTGCTTTCAGAAGGAGCAGCTTCATTTTCATTTGGTTTTATAAGGGGCACTAGTCTTGGATGAGCTTCTCCCAGAACTTTGAGTTAATATCAAAACTCCTAAGTGAAGCAGTCAGGGTATCTTTATAGCATTTCCTCTGGCCATCGTTAGAGCACCCAAGACTCAACCTGATCATAGAAGATTTACTCTATTACTAATTGAGTATCAGGCAGTCCAGCTGCATGACAAGCCCAACTTGCAGTAACAACCACTGGTGGCTTGTGATTGTGATAGAATGCTGCCACCAATTCTTCTTCCTATGGTTAAAACTAAGGGCCTCCAAGTTGCAATGATAGAGGAAAAGTACTACTGAGCCTTAATAAGAGGGGCACCTGTCTTAACAACAAGGTAATTTATTGATGATAACAATGGGTACAAATTAGTTGGATAGTTAGACATAGTTATAAAGACTCTAACAGTCTGTCTCCATGAGGACCCAGCTCCCTGTTCTCCACCCAAACAATGTGTAGAGCTCGATGCAGCTCCAACACAACTCCTATCAACCCATTAGTTTATATAACATCTCCCATCCTCACTGTTAACATTTATACATTGAGGTCAATAGGGTGAGCCTTGCATTAGGATGGCCAGGGACTCAGGATGCCACAGGTCTGTGTCCTGTGCAGTGCATGGGTCCGTGTGCAATGGTCTTTCCCTTTAAAAAGCAGAGATAATATGAGTGTGCAGGTAGACACTGAGTGAGTGACTACTTAGTGAGCAGCCCTGAGATGCAGCCTGGTCCAATTGTTTAGCTGGGACCTTGTCCATGCAGCCTTTCAATACTACTTGTCAGTGTGCCCTGCAATGCAGGTCTGTGCCTCCAGAATACCCTGCCAGGGAGGGCCATGATGGCTGTGATGAGTTGGTAAATGCCAGATGCTAATATGTGTGGAAGTGGTATACTTTCAGCCCATGCCAATGGATCATGCCTTCCAATACAACGTGCTTGTATGCAATAAAGAGGTCCTTCGGACCAAGAGGTGAGCTAAATTCGTCAGGTACTTGCTCTTGCTTCCATGCTAAGTTTTCTCAGTGTCTAGCTTGTTTGCCACTTTTGGCAGGAGAGGAAGGTGAATATCAATGAGCCACGTTAGGCTGTCAATAAGTGTTGAGCAAGCAATAATCTCCCTTCAGTGGCAATGCACTGCTTCCCAGTGAATATAAACATCTCTTCCTGGACTTCCCTTCCAATACTGCCACAAATCCCATCATAACCCATGTTGCTCAGACCCCTAGAAGATTCTTCCCCAAGATAATTAGACAACCGTACTCAAACTGAGATAATTTGATCTGGATATGGTAATAAAATTTCATCAAAGTAGCATCAGGTCTAAAGTGACTTGCTAACAACAGGAATATGATTTACTAAACATTCTGGCTGCTTTGTGAATAGAGGTACAATTGGGAAAGAAATGAGTAACCAAGCAGCACAAACTATTGCTAATCTATCTTTGGGTGATGAAATGTCCTTCAAGCTCTGTTGATATCAAGTGAAGCTACATGAAGTCAACCAAATTTTAGTCATAATGACTCAAAGACTTTAATTTGGGAATATGTTGTTGCATTTGTAATTGTTATATGCAATAATAGCTGTCCCATTTCTTTCACTTGTGTGCTAAGTGAATTATCCCAAAGCACAACTGTTAGTGAGATTCTTCAGTGAAATTAAGTAGCTTCCTTGAAATAAGTTTGTCTTCCTCAAACACGTTTCTCAATATAATTCTCCATGATTTTTCTCAAAAGGAGAGATTTTTCATCAAGAGGTTAATGCATTTATTTTCAATTAAACAACCACAACCACTTTCAAATCTCCAATAAAACAAGTGTTAAATATAGCAACAACCAATGGAATTCTGAATGTTGGCCTTCAGGCATAGGATTCAGAGATAGTAGGAACTGCAGATGCTGGAGAATCTGAGATAACAAGGTGTAGAGCTGTATGAACACAGCAGGCCAAGCAGCATCAGAGGAGCAGGAAAGCTGACATGTCTGGCCTAGAGCCTTCTTCAGACCCTTCTTTTCTGAAGAAGGGTCTAGGCCCAAAACGTCAGCCCTCCTGCTCCTCTGATGCTGCTTGACAGGCATAGGATTGACAGGTTAATGAAAATATTAAATATCATGTTGACTTAGATTAGAAAGCTGCCATTAGAGGAAGATGTTTTTCTACTTTCAAATATCAGTGCCCATTATGGCCTGCAGAACATTTACAGCAAATGTTTGACTCAGTTATCATGATTTATGCCATAATATTTTGTTTTGATCCTAGTTTTAAGATCAAATGAAGGGCCGATTCCCAGGGATTATGTCCTGCTTTTTAAAGGGAATAAACATTGCACCCTGGCAACTGGCCAGAAATAACAACCATCTCAACGATGGCATGACCTGTGCCAATGTGTGTGTGAATGAGCAAACTGAAACCAAAAGTGCCTTTCCCTCACTCAGCATGACCCTTACCCAATCCAGTTGTGGCTGCTATGCAATGGGGAACTCTGGTGAGTTAAGGACTTACCACTCCTATATACGAGCTGATATTACCCATAGTAGCAGCAGCAACAACAAGGACTTGCATGCTGGAATTCAAGGGAAGGGAACTGAGTGGGGTAAGGTGACAGGAACAGCATTTTTAAAAGGGTTAAGTGAAGGAGAAGAAGCCAGGAGCATTTGGAATTAGAACGAAGAAAAATGTTAGGAACAGTGTTTTGGGATGTGGAGTGAATGAAAACACCAGCTATAAAGGTACATAAAGGCAATGCCAAAGTGAATTGAGGTGGAAGGGAAAAGGAGAGTGACAATTATCTGAGAAGGGAGAAAAATAGGAAGCAGAATTAAATGTAGAGAGAGGGAGGATATTGAATGCAGGTATGTGTGTGTGAAGAAATGTGTCATTTTGAGCTCAATAGGTAGAAGAGTGCAGGATTGAATTGAATGAAGGAAAAGGAAGAAGAACTCCACAGAGTTAAAGGGTAGAAGTATGAGCTTGGTGCTGCAGTGAGAAGTCTGTGAGCTGAATGAGTGACTGAGAGGACACAACGTTGTTGTACTGGATACAGTGGATACGTCCCTTTAGGAATGGAATGGTGGTGATGAGTGGAGGAGGGGGAGAAGGTGTGGGAAACTATTGTTGAAGTAACCTTTATGGAGACATTGTTTAATTTTATCTTTAAGCTTAAAAATCTGATAAATTTTATAGAGTATAAAGGGTTTTTCTTTTATTCGTTTATGAGATATGGGTGTTGATGCCTAGGTCAGTATTTGTTGCCCATTCCTAACTGCCCTGAAGAAAATATGATGTGCTACCTTCTTGAACGGCTGCAGAATTCCTAGCCTCTGACTTGCCCTTGCAGCCATAGTATTTATGTACTGGTTCTGTTCAGTTCCTCACCAATGATATCTCCTAGAATGTTAATAGTGGGGCATTCAGCAATAGTAATTGCATTAATGCCTAGGAGTAGTGGTTATATTCTCTCTTGTTGGAAATGAGCATAGCATGGCACTTGTATGTCATGAAAGTCACTTGCCACTTTTCAGCCCAAATCTGGATATAGCCCAGGTCTTGCTGCATTTGGAGAATGACTGCCTCAGTATCTGATGAATGTGAAAAGT